CCTGTGGCTCTATTGGTCGTGGAAAAAAATCTATTTAAAAAATTTAAGCCTGTAGTTCTTTTAGTCCCTGAAAAAAATCTATTTAAAAATCCACGCCTGGGCTCTATTCGTCATGGAAAAATCTATTTAAAAAATCCAGGCCTGTTGCTCGTTTAGTTTCTTAAAAAATTAAAATCTGTAGCTGTATTAGTCGCGAAAAAATCGATTTCAAAATATACCCCTGTGGCTCTGTTGGTCGTGCGAAAAATCTATTTAAAAAATCCACACTTGAGGTTCTTTTATTACGTGGTTCTACTGATTGTAGAAAAACACTATTTAAAAAATCCACGACTGTGGCTCAATTGGTTATGGAAAAAATCTATTTAAAAATGCCAAGTCTGCGGCTCTTTTAGTTCCTTAAAAAATTAATTAAAAAATCCACGCAAGTCAACCCTTTAGTCCTGAAAAATCTATTTAAACAATCCACGCCTGTCACTCTTTTAGTCCCTGAAAAAAGCTATATAAATCCACGTTTGGGTCCCTGAAAATATATTAAAAAATTCCCGACTGTGGTTCAATCTTGCTTCAAAAAATCTATTTAAAGAAAATCCCCGCCTGTGGCCTTATTGGTCAGTGTAAAAATAAATTTAAAAAATCCACCCTTGCGTATGATTAACTTCTTTATTTACTAACATATACGCACTATATTCCTTGTACAATATCAATTCACCATACACACATACGTACGAACTCCCCATTGAAATCTATTTTGAGCGTATATCTGGATTTTATTATAAATTAAAGGCAATCTGTTTTCCAATTCAACACCTTTATTAACATCTATATATGTACGAGTATGACTTTATCTACGAAATCGCCAGTCCCACTGCTCATTGTCCTTAAATAAACGTTTAAAAATTCACATTATGTCAAATTAAATTATTTATTCGAAACTTCCGTGTAGATTTCACCAAGGAGCGAATAAAGAAACATCGCCTCTGTCTCGATGGCTGGCAAACAAAGAACTTCGTATTAATGCTTATAAATGATGCGGATGATGATGAGGATGCTGGTGATGTATACCAGTCGACAAACATACATACACATGGATTATTTACACATTATAAACAAATGTAAACATAAATTAAATTAATAGTCCAGGAAATAAAAGAAAAGAGGGGGAGAAAAAGATTAATCAAGAAAGAAATTACAGAGACCACAGCCATTTTTTTATAGATTTCTTGGGGGACCAATATGGACACAGGCGTGGATTTTTTAAATAGATTCTTTGAGGAACTTATTGAGCCACAGGCGTGGATTTTTTAAAAAAGGTTTTTTGAGGAACTTATTGAGCCCCGGTGTGGATTTTTTAAATAGATTTTTTGAGGGATTTATTGAGCCCCAGGCGTGGATTTTTTAAATAGATTTTTTGAGGAACTTATTGAGCCCCAGGCGTGGATTTTTTAAATAGATTTTTTGAGGAACTTATTGAGCCCCAGGCGTGGATTTTTTAAATAGATTTTTTGAGGAACTTATTGAGCCCCAGGCGTGGATTTTTTAAATAGATTTTTTGAGGAACTTATTGAGCCCCAGGCGTGGATTTTTTAAATAGATTTTTTGAGGAACTTATTGAGCCCCAGGCGTGGATTTTTTAAATAGATTTTTTGTGGAACTTATTGAGCCCCAGGCGTGGATTTTTTAAATAGATTTTTTGAGGAACTTATTGAGCCCCAGGCGTGGATTTTTTAAATAGATTTTTTGAGGAACTTATTGAGCCCCAGGCGTGGATTTTTTAAATAGATTTTTTGAGGAACTTATTGAGCCCCAGTCGTGGATTTTTTAAATAGATTTTTTGAGGAACTTATTGAGCCCCAGGCGTGGATTTTTTAAATAGATTTTTTGAGGAACTTATTGAGCCCCAGGCGTGGATTTTTTAAATAGATTTTTTGAGGAACTTATTGAGCCCCAGGCGTGGATTTTTTAAATAGATTTTTTGAGGAACTTATTGAGCCCCAGATTTTTTAAATAGATTTTTTGAGGAACTTATTGAGCCCCAGGCGTGGATTTTTTAAATAGATTTTTTGAGGAACTTATTGAGCCCCAGGCGTGGATTTTTTAAATAGATTTTTTGAGGAACTTATTGAGCCCCAGGCGTGGATTTTTTAAATAGATTTTTTGAGGAACTTATTGAGCCCCAGGCGTGGATTTTTTAAATAGATTTTTTGAGGAACTTATTGAGCCCCAGGCGTGGATTTTTTAAATAGATTTTTTGAGGAACTTATTGAGCCCCAGGCGTGGATTTTTTAAATAGATTTTTTGAGGAACTTATTGAGCCCCAGGCGTGGATTTTTTAAATAGATTTTTTGAGGAACTTATTGAGCCCCAGGCGTGGATTTTTTAAATAGATTTTTTGAGGAACTTATTGAGCCCCAGGCGTGGATTTTTTAAATAGATTTTTTGAGGAACTTATTGAGCCCCAGGCGTGGATTTTTTAAATAGATTTTTTGAGGAACTTATTGAGCCCCAGGCGTGGATTTTTTAAATAGATTTTTTGAGGAACTTATTGAGCCCCAGGCGTGGATTTTTTAAATAGATTTTTTGAGGAACTTATTGAGCCCCAGGCGTGGATTTTTTAAATAGATTTTTTGAGGAACTTATTGAGCCCCAGGCGTGGATTTTTTAAATAGATTTTTTGAGGAACTTATTGAGCCCCAGGCGTGGATTTTTTAAATAGATTTTTTGAGGAACTTATTGAGCCCCAGGCGTGGATTTTTTAAATAGATTTTTTGAGGAACTTATTGAGCCCCAGGCGTGGATTTTTTAAATAGATTTTTTGAGGAACTTATTGAGCCCCAGGCGTGGATTTTTTAAATAGATTTTTTGAGGAACTTATTGAGCCCCAGGCGTGGATTTTTTAAATAGATTTTTTGAGGAACTTATTGAGCCCCAGGCGTGGATTTTTTAAATAGATTTTTTGAGGAACTTATTGAGCCCCAGGCGTGGATTTTTTAAATAGATTTTTTGAGGAACTTATTGAGCCCCAGGCGTGGATTTTTTAAATAGATTTTTTGAGGAACTTATTGAGATTCTTTGAGGAACTTATTGAGCCACAGGCGTGGATTTTTTAAATAGATTTTTTGAGGAACTTATTGAGCCCCAGGCGTGGATTTTTTCAATAGATTTTTTGAGGAACTTATTGAGCCCCAGGCGTGGATTTTTTAAATAGATTTTTTGAGGAACTTATTGAGCCCCAGGCGTGGATTTTTTAAATAGATTTTTTGAGGAACTTATTGAGCCCCAGGCGTGGATTTTTTAAATAGATTTTTTGAGGAACTTATTGAGCCCCAGGCGTGGATTTTTTAAATAGATTTTTTGAGGAACTTATTGAGCCCCAGGCGTGGATTTTTTAAATAGATTTTTTGAGGAACTTATTGAGCCCTAGGCGTGGATTTTTTAAATAGATTTTTTGAGGAACTTATTGAGCCCTAGGCTTGGATTTTTCAAATAGATTTTTTTAAGGACTTATAGAGCCCCAGGCGTGGATTTTATAAATAGATTTTTTTCTGCAACCAATAGAACCACAGGCGTGGATTTTTAAAATTGATATTTGAAGGAACTTATAGAGCCACAGGCGTGGATTTTTTAAATAGATTCTTTGAGGAACTTATAGAGCCCCAGGCGTGGATTTTTTAAATAGATTTTTCAAATTGTTTTTTCAGGGGCCAATGGAGGCCCAAGTGTGTATTTTTTAAATAATTTTTTCAGGGGCCAATGTAGGCCCAAGTGTGTATTTTTTAAATAATTTTTTCAGGGGCCAATGGAGGCCCAAGTGTGTATTTTTTAAATAATTTTTTTCAGGGGCCAATGGAGGCCCAAGTGTGTATTTTTTAAATAATTTTTTTTCCACTACCAATAGAGCCTCCTTCTTTTTTTTAAATGGGTATTTTGAGGGACCAATGGAGGTCCGAGTGTATATTTTTTAAATAATATTTCCACTACCATTTTTTATAAGATTTTGGTCAGGGACCAGTAGTGGATTTTTGAAATAAATTTGTTCAGGGTTAATAGAGCCCCAAGCGTGGATGATTAAATAGATCAGGGGTCAATATAGGCACAGGTTTTGATTTTTTTTTTATTTTCGCACCCTAATATACATTTAAATATTCAATACTATATATGTTCGCTATAATGTAAAATTAAAATCCCCGAGCAAATGTAAAATGTTTTGTTTTCTTTCATCTCTCTCATGTCTCTTCTTCTCCTTCTTCATCTATTTAATGCTGCACAATAAAAAAAAATGGGCAGCCGGTCGAAGCAAATACGGTGATTGCAAGCAGCAGCATTTCTAAAAATAAATTTCCCATTTTTATAGTTGTAACGAATAATTCTTCAATCAAAATTTTTTGAAAGAAAGACACGCGCCGTGGCAAAACATGGCCACGTTCGGGACCATGCGTTTTTGATATATATTCCCATATAGTATATTTTGTTGTTTTTGTTTATTTTCAAATTTTGCTACGAAATTGATTTGTATGCGTGAAAAAAGACAACAGCAACAATAACAATAACAACAACAATTAACCCAAATTAAAGCAACAACAAAGTGAAGCTCCCACAAAAAAAAAATAACTTGCAAAAATACAATGGTTATTGAAAAAAAAATGTTATTGTAAATATTTCTATTTATTTATACAATAAATAGAATCGACGAAAAAAGAAACAAAATTCAAATAAAACAATTTTTGATTGTTGTGGTCTGGTCTGGCAGGCTGAGGCCAGAAAGAAAGAATTTCTATAAAAAATATAAATAAATAATTTAAACACCTTGAAATAAATACAATTGCTGAAGAACAAAAAAATTGAAAATAAATAAATAAATTCAATTGTTAATCAGTGATTCCAAATCAAATCGTCAATATTATAATTCATTTAACTTTTCAACGCCCACTTCAAATGTGATTTGTGAAAAAAGGGGATTTACTTTTTTTTGTTTTTGAAACTGAAATCCTGTAACCAGAAAAATGTCTAAGAAACCACGAGGGAATATCCATAAAATTCGACAATTTGAATTGGAAAAGGTAAGTTTGTCCAAAATATTCAATAATAAAATAAATGGGAACAAACAGACACACTAATATTTAAGGTATTCTGTAGACTATCTATAGAGCCTTCTTAGGGAGGCAAAGAACCAATACAGACAAAGGTATGGATGTTTTAAATAAATCATTCAGGGGGTTATGAGTCTTAGGGGTGGATTTGTAAATAGATTTTTTTTCAGGGATCTTGCATTTTTTTAATATATATATTTTTTGTGAAGGCGTATGTTTCAAAAATAAATATTAAAAGACAGTCTGGCTGAATCTCAGTTTGTTGTTTTTATAAAAAAAAAACCAGTAAGGAAAGTAGTAAAGTCGGACGGGGCCGACTATATGATACCCTTCACCACTATGGGTATATTAAACCGGACTATTAACATAAAATTGGATGAAAAAAAATATGTGATATTTATCTAAATGTGAATCTACCTAGATCTATTCATAAAGTATGTCAATCGACTTCAAACAAATATAAATAGAAAACGAAACTACGCAATTCTATGCTCAATTTTGTACGTTGCTCAAAATTTGATGTCAATCTGACTAACATGAGGAGTTTGATGCCCAATTTACTTGAAATTGGGCGAAAATATATATGGAAGATCTATCCAAATATAACCTGAAATCGGACGAAACTATATATGGGAGCTATATCTAAATCTGGACCGATTTTCCCGAAACTGGGCAGACATAATTCTAGGCTCAATCCAGTACGTTTTGCCAAATTTCGTGCAAATCGAAGGATATATAGGGACTATGGTGCACCATTTACATGAAATCGGACGAAACTATATATGGGAGCTATATCTAAATCTGGACCGATTTTCTCGAAACTTGGCAGACATCACTCTAGGCTTAATTCAGTACGTTATGCTAAATTTCGTGCAAATCAAGAGATATATAGGGACTTTGGGGCACCATTTACATGAAATCGGACGAAACTATATATGGGAGCTATATCTAAATCTGGATCGATTTTCTCGAAACTTGGCAGACATCACTCTAGGCTTAATTCAGTGCGTAATGCCAAATTTCGTGCAAATCAAAAGATATATAGGGACTTTGGGGCACCATTTACATGAAATCGGACGAAACTATATATGGGACCTATATCTAAATCTGGACCGATTTTCACGAAACTTGGCAGACATCATTCTAGATTTAAATGATTAGGCTGTACCAAATTTCGTGCAAATCGAAAGATATATAGGGACCGTTTACATTAATTCGGTTAAATATATATATGGGAGCTATATCTAAATTTGAACCGATTTTTCCCAATTTCAATAGGGTTCGTCCTTGGGCCGAATAAGTGACCTGTGCCAAATTTCATCCAATTCGGATCAAAAATGCGACCTGTACTTTGCTCACAAAAATACATGGACAGACAGACAGACGGACAGACGGACGGACATGCATAAATCGACTTAGAAAGTGATTCTATGCATATTCTCAAAAGGAACCATGGGTCTATCTCGTTTCCTTTTGCCTGTTACAAACATATGCACAAAGACATAATACCCTGTACCACAGTGTGGTGAAGGGTATAAACAACTATTTATTAGTGGGGAATGTATGGCATTGTTTGCCCGACTATTTTTCAAAAACAAAATACAAATGGTATCCCAAATAAACCGCAAACACTACTGAAATATATTAAAAGACAATAGAGCCTAAATCGAGGATTTTCAAATAGATTTTTTTTCAGCGACCGGGCCCCCCGGGCTGCCCCCCTGCGTACATCCCTGCCTTGAGGATGTTGTGTGGCCTGTTAATCTCCTTAACACTAGATTGCCGAAGGCGGTCATTTTTACCGTTTTTCAATTTCAAGTACAAAAACCACTGTGCAGGGGCAATTAAACTTGGATTTTTTAAATATATTTTTAGAGGCCAATAGAGCCTTTAACGTAGCTTATTTTAAAATAGATTTTTGCTGACCATTAGAGCATCAGGCGTGGATTTTTTAAATAGATTTTTTAGGGACCAATATAGTCTTCGACATTGATTTTGTACATATATAAATGCAGGAGTCAATAAAGTTTTGGGCGTAGATTTTTTAAATAAAATTCTTCAGAGACCAATAAAGCCAAAGGCATGCATTTTTAAATAGTTTTTCTTGGGATCAATAGAGCCGCAGGCGTTAGTTTTTTAAGATATTTGTCAGGGACCTTGAGCCTTATGGTTAAATTTTTTAATACAGTTCATTTTTTCCATGACCAATAGAGCTGTAGGACCCTTAATATGAATCCTATAATTTTCCCATTATTACCATGACACCCTTATACACCATCAATCTGTATTCGTGTAATTTAAATTTCTGTTGAGGTGCGAATTGATGTGATTGACACGAATGAACATCTAAGAAACTAATTATAAACAATTAATTATAAATTAGTTTGTCCTTGAATATCGAATAGGCATGAGATGTATAAAAGGTCATATTTGATTGAATTGAAAATATATTTGATGAAGCAGCGTTATTTTCCAGAAGAATCTATAAAAATTACACCGAATTTAAGATTTTGGATTAAAAATTGTGCAGCACTTCAACCCCAACTTTTAGCATCTCAAAATACTTAGCCCAAGGTCTCTTCAATTCATATATTATAAGACTTGAGGCACGTTTCGATACAGTACCTTCAAAATTTTGAAGGTTTCTGTTTTCCAATTGAAGGAGCTGTAATTTGGTATTCCGGATTCTTAGTTGGTGAATTTTGGCCGAATTTTCTAACCGAATGGGCAATAATTTGTCATTCAAGCTTATTGGAGGCTGACATAAATCTATGTAGATAATTATCATTATAGTAGTCCTTAGGTGAGCTTGGGAGCGTTTTTTTAATTTTGATTAAGTTAGTTTTTATCTGAAGAAAACTAGATCAAATGTTATATCTATAAGAGACCTCGTCTAGGTGTCTATAAGTAAAATACCTCCTTCAAATTTTAGGTTCCATCTTCAGAACAAGGATTCCTAATACGTCCTGTGGAAAAAAACTTAAGGAAAACCAATGAACGGGGCAGTATATTGAGACGACCACATGATACCCTACACAACAACTATCGAACTTTAATTTTCCGATTCATTTTTTCTCGGAGTAAACGACATACGATTCCAATTTGGTTATATCACACACAAAAGTCTTCGTTCAGTTAACCCTCTAAATATTGACCGACCATTTGAAAACAGCAATTCTAAATGGCCAGATCTCTTATCCCGTGGAAAATTTGTGATGTTCGACTTACAATAGTAGTCTCTAGAGCGACTAGGAAACCATACAATAATAAGGCTTTAGGTCCACCATTCCATTCTCTAAATATCTGATCATCACCGAAATTTGTAGGTGTCATCCTTGACCATCTTGGATCTCTTGGATATAGCATCAACGGTATACTAAAAAGTGGGTCTAGAACCAATATTTCGAGGGGTTACAAGCTCTTGAGGCCACATAAAGCTATAATACCCAGATGACATATATATAGATAGCTTCTATATATGGAAGATCATACGATATCACCAATATGCAATGGAAATTGACGAATAGATGGATCTCAGATCTTATATTTGCAGAAAAGCAAGTCCTGAAGGAGGTATTTGTAGACAACTTGAAAAAGAAGCAGACTGCAGTCAACAGAACATCTTAGGAAAATGGCTTTGTGCGCCTACAGGTTCTATTTTCAGAAATTCCTGAGGGTATTGTAAAAGTTACAGTTCGTAGAAAAATGTCAATATGGGTATAGGTGTTTAAAAATTGCCTCCATATATAGGCCCAGCCCAATTTTCCATACATTGAAGGAAAAAATCCTATTTGTATTTGTAATTTTATATTTCGTTTTCTGAGAGTGTGAAACAGTCTAATTGTTTTTATTTTTTTCTTTTTTCAAAATTAATTTTATTTTTGGTCTTTATTTTTATTTATTAAAAAAATTTCAAACGAACTTTTCTTATCAACCAATTTGCAAAAACAAAATGTAACATCAACATTATGACACATTCTATATGAATTCCGGACAATGAACACGCGTGTCTCCACTCATAACCATATTGAATATATCCATATCTAGATATCAACAATAACAACAACAAATTAATATATTTAAATATGTATTTTTTTAGAATTATAAATTTGTTTATAATAAACCACCTGTTTTATCAGATTCTCTTTCTCTCTCTCCCATTGCTCTTTTGTAAATATCGGCATGAATTGAAATATCGAACGCATACACCCTGCATACAGCGGTGCCAAAGAAATGAAACAAATTCGATTCATTTCAATTTTGCCGAATTATAATGAAATCATTATGATTTTGTATAAATTATTATTTCTTGCTAATTTGCAATTATAAAAATGTTTTATTTTAGGAAATTCGTGCATAGATATGTGGCCATTTTTTCTTTCCACCATCACTCAGTTTTGAGGAAAATGCAGGCATAACAAGAAAAATTGAATCTTGTCAATTTTCCATATGTTTTGGCATTCCCGTTTGGGCTTTCATTTGATGTGGTGCTTGAGAGGTGGGGAAATTTGGCATTTTGCCAAAATTACGTATAAACTAAACATATGTGTATATATAAAATATTGGAGGTAAATCATATAAAATAGATAAATTAAACACACACGCTACAGAAACCGCATTTGAAGTAGATTTTCAAGTGGGGTTATTGCTTAGGGAACATTGCAATTAAATACCTTACCTACAACTACCTTTTACCAACAACTACTGAAAAATTAGGAGGATACTTTAATCGGGGAACATATGACCGAGCGAAATGGACCGATATTGCAAATCTTCAGGGAATGAGTATTTTACCCAACAAGAATCAGGAATGCCAAATTGCAGTCACTTAGGTTGGGTCATTAATATGGAGGCTTTGTCAAAATATGGACCTACATTGAAAATTTATTAGCCAATATTTGGGGTTAATATTATATGAGGGCTACGCCTAATTAATGACCGATATACGTCGATTTCGAACCCAATATTTTAGTTTTGTATTTCAATTATTTCCTTCGGGAGGTATCATTATATGGAGGAGATGCCTAAATGCCTGCCGATATATTTCATTATCAGGTTTCATATTCAGGTTCGAGTTCTTTTTATCACGATATCTTTAGAAGGCGGAATAATAGATGACTAAGTTGTCTTAGAATTCCACTGACTATTCCGAGGAACAAACAACACAACACACGGAACAAATCAGCTAACTATTTTAATATAAAAAGATTATATGGGGACTACCCCTGAACGGGGATGAATATTAATAATTACAGCGAATTCGGTTGAAAAACGCGCTCAAGAACACCAAAATGCTATAAATGGGGGTACCCTTACATGGGGGCTACCCGAAAAAATCGACCTATATTTACAATTTTTTGTGGAGAGATTTGCTAACCAATAAGAACTCAAAGTACTAAATTACAGGCAATTCGGTGAAAAAATCCGGTCAAAATCCCCCAAAAACGGAAAATTTGGAGGTACCGTTATATGGATAAAAGTGGACCTATATTTATAATTTTTAGTGGAGAAATTTGGTATCCAATAAGAACCCATTGTACCAAATTTCGAATTCGGTTGAAAAACGACCTCAAGAACCCCAAATACCGACAATTTAGGGGTACCCCTATATGGGAGCTATGCCTAAACGTGGACCGATATAGACCATCTTCGAACTTAACCTGCCTGCAGACAAAATACGACTCTATGCAAAATGTTGGCGATCTACCTCAATTCGTTTAGACGCTTGAGTGACTCCAACAGACAGACGGACATGCTTAAATCGTCATAGAATTTTACGCTGATTAAGAATATATACTTTATAGGGTCGCAAATGATTATTTCGATGAGTTACAAACGGAAAAACAAAACTAATATGCCGTCTATACTATGGTGGGGGGTATACAAATTTCTCCGGTAATGTTTTTCTCTCAACGAGGAAGAACATCGAATGACAAATTACAGACACTCAGGGTGAAAAATTAACATTCCGGGACCCATGTATGGTGACTACTTAAAATATGGAACTATATTGGAATTTTTTCTGCAAACAATGCTTCACGAACCCGATATTTCAAATTACAGCCTTTTTCGAATGGAAAATTTGGGTAAAACCTTCAATATACCCTTAATAGTACGTTTACATTTAACCGGATTTCGTTAACCCAATGGGTTTCAATTGTCAGTTCCTTTGCGTATATGTCAAATAAATCCTCATAAAGTAGGTTAACCCGGTGAAAAAGTTCTAGTGTACATGCCGTTTTACATACCGAATATGAGGCGAATTGCTTCCTTAACTGCATCCGTGTGAATACGATTCAATCCTGCTTAATAGGCCTGTTGATCTAGAGGCTACTTTTTGTACCTTTGGACCTCTCTCTCCAGATCATGAAGATCCTTCCTGACATGCCTGGGTGGTGGGTGCTTATCCATTAGGTAGTTGCGCTGACGTTAGCGGACCACACTGGCGCCGCATAGTTTACCACAGACCGACCTATTGCTGTATATGTCGTTAACAAGGTTTCCTTGTCAGCTCCCCAAGTGCTGCCGGCTAGCGACTTGAGAACCTTGTTTCAGCTCCTGACCTTATCGCAAATAGCTGTGGCATACGCGGACCACTTATAAAAACTATCGAATGTGACCCCTAGAACCTTTGGGTAATTGGTAGTCGGAATTGTGGACCCCTCGACCTGCATATTCAAAAATAGCCACATCTCCGCTGTCCATGTGGTAAACAGTGTCATAACTTGTCTTACTGGCGGATATTTCTATATCCTCAACCGGAAAAAGTCTGCAATGTCCACAAAATTTCAATTGTAATACCATTTGTTCTAATTCACGCAGTTTCGAAACATTCTTCAGTAGACTTTTTACCAATGTTTTTTAACTTTCAATTTTATTAAAATTAATATTTTTATTTATTTTTAAATTCCCATTACTTTTTTCTTTTCAGATACATTTGGTCGATGAATTTGATATACTGCAAATTGTCGGCGAAGGATGGTTTGGCAAAATTCTCTTGGTCGAACATCGAGCATCCCATACAGAAATGGTACTAAAAGCGGTGCCCAAACCCTATGTCTCACTAAATGATTTCTATCGGGAATTTCATTATGGTCTACATTTGGGTATACATCGAAATATTGTGACCACCTATGATGTGGCCTTCGAGACGGCTGGATTTTATGTATTCACACAGGAGTATGCTCCGTTGGGTAAGGTCATAATTTATTTTGAAATAGTTTTCATTACTTCCAATAAAAAAAATTCTTTTAAATAGGTGATCTAACCTCAAACGTTACCGATACCGGGGTTGGTGAGGTCTACAGCAAACGTGTGGCCAAACAAATTGGTTCCGCCTTAGATTATATGCATTCAAAGTAGGTGGATTTATTAATTTAATTTTTGTTATTTATTTAATATTTTACTCTTCCGAATTTCAGAGACATTGTTCACCGTGATGTAAAATTAGATAATGTTCTAATATACCGTTCCGATTTTACCCGTGTAAAGCTGTGTGATTTTGGTGAATCATTTCAAACAGGCACCCTTGTCGAAAGACGCAACGAATGGCTGCCATACAGTCCACCCGAAGTATTAGAAATTAAGCCCGAGGGAACATATAAGTGAGTATTCCGACACATTTTTCCAATTTTACTTATTTTGGAAGGAAATTGAGAGCAGGAAAATATAGTAGAGCTATAAAAGCCAGATAAGAGATATTCTACATAAAAAGTGAGTGAATCTTCAGGGCTTCTTTAGATAGAAATGAACTTGCTCAGACTGTCTGACAGGATTTCAATGTATGTAGATTGAAAATCTGAGACCTTTTACAGACTGGCGGTCTTCCTCATATCCTATATAAAGTAAACACTTCCGAAGAAGTTTAATAAATATGTATAAGACCTTCCACAGCTAGTATGCGTTTGCTTGGATCTATATAGAATATCCTTTCTGGCCTTTTTTGAAATATATACACATCCTGAGGTCTCCCTTTTTAGAACTTCTTCATCAATAAATAGAACAATTTCCGGATTAGAGGGGTTTAGGATGGGGCAAATACTGAAATGTGCTATAAACGGTACTATATCTATCTAGTGTCCCAAACCTATGATGATAGAAGAGGAGCTGGTCATTTCTATATAAAAGACCTTCTTCATTCCGAATTAATCTTTCGGCTCGAATTAATCTTTCGACGTCTGTTTCGTGCAAAAGGCTATCTCTAACTAACTTATTTTCTAATGTTTCGCTCGGTCTAGGAATCTAAGAGCGCTTGCCATTAGAAAGTTATCTACTCGGCTGAAGTCGATGGAATCATACACTACTCTATTAGCAGGTAATCGCCAGATTCCATCTACTCCTTTTTGTGGTTTTAAGCCTAAGCAGGACCTAAGGATTCGCCTCTCTATTTGGTGGGAAGAGATCCCAAACCAAAAAGGGAAGGCGTACCCAATTAGTGGCCTTATTACTTGTTTGTAGATAAAAAGCCCAACTTTAACGGAGTTGCTTTGAGAGCACGCTGGTAGTACCAAAATACTCCTTTGACATTCCTGAAAACGTAATCAATATGCCTTACAACACACACAACTTTACTATTTAAGATAACTCCCAGATATTTAATCTGGTGGGAGTTTCTTATTGTTTGCCCTCCAAGTAGGTTCATACTGCCCGGCGCTGCGGTATAAATATTTCATCTTGCCTTTAAAGGTTATTGCCTCACACTTATCGACATTTAAATGCATTTTCCAAGTTTGAAAGTATTCGAAGAGTTGCTCCAAATATGCATGGGCTCCCACTGCAGCGACAAATATATCGTCTGCGTATGCTAGGAGTAATTGTCCTTCGGGCGCATGCGGTATATCACTAATAAAAATGTTGAAAAGAACCGGTCCAAGGAGAGACCCTTGTGGATCTCCAATAGCAAGAGTAGGTTCATACTGCCCGGCGCTGCGGTATAAATATTTCTTCTTGCCTTTGAAGGTTATTGCCTCACACTTATCGACATTTAAATGCATTTTCCAAGTTTGAAAGTATTCGAAGAGTTGCTCCAAATATGCATGGGCTCCCACTGCAGCGCATGCGGTATATCACTAATAAAAATGTTGTGGAACCCCGGCATTGACTGCCCTTTTTGACGAAAGGTTTTCTTCAACTTTAACCTTAAATCTTCTGTCAGCTAGAAAACTAGACACAAGCCTACATATATTAAAATCGAAGCCTAGCCTTCTTATTTTATATATCATTGCTCTTTGCCGAACATTATCAAATGCTTCGGCAAAATCCAAACTAACAGCGACAGTTGAGAAAACTGAAATAGGTATTCGTATCGTACTGTGAAGTCAATGAGAATTACTTCCTTATTCGTGCAAAATTGGTTGGTTGCCTCAGTTCTTCAGAAACTAAAACGTAACAGAGATCCTCATCTAAATTACACCTCTTCTCGATTTCCAGAGCTGATCCCAGTCATGATGTTTGGCAATTTGGCATTGTGATATTCGTCTGCCTTACGGGTTGCCTGCCGTGGCAAAAGGCTGCCTCGGATGATCCCCGATATATGCGCTATTTGATATGGCAAAATAGTATGATGTTGGCCATGCGGAGGACACCAAAGCTTTTCAAATTACTAACATCACGAGCTCAGCGTATGTTTAAGAGATTTCTAGAGCCTAGGGCAGATCGAAGGCCGAAAACCCTTACGGATTTAACAAAATTCTTAGATGATCGTTGGTTGGCAAAAACGGCTGAGAAAGAAATGGCGGAATATGAAACGGATGAATTGTGTCCATCAATGTATTCCTTTCACAGCAGTCCCGATGAGAAGAATCGTTTGCTTTTTAATTTGGCCGATTGTGGTATCGAGACAAATGTCGATAGGCATATAAAGAAGATAAGAATCAAGGAATGGATAGAGTCTTCGGTTATCACAGAAGAGGATGAGGTAAGTATTTGGATTATCAAGGAAGAAAAATAAAAATTAAAATTTTGTTTTTTTTTTCTTTTAGGAGGAACTGGAAGAAACCAATTCAGCATCATCGCCCTCCTCATCGGTTTCCCGAGAACCGGTACGTGGTCACATTTCCTCGCTGCGTTCTTCCTCCACCGAACAGCCAAAGGAAATTAAGACAACCCTTAAGGATGCCAATCAAAAACATTTTGATCCTCGTACTGGGGCCGTCCAAGTGGGTCCCAGTGAAATGGGCACCGCTCAATTTAATCAACAGCAAAAATCTGATAGTCCCTCTTCGATGGCTAGCAACCTTTCGACCATGATGAATAATGACAGTTTGGCCGGTAGTTTGGTAACTCTCGGCTCCAGAGCCGATTTAATTTCCAGCAGTATGGAAATTTACAATTCCACCAATACCGATCTGAATCGTTTGGTAGATCTTAGTCAGAGTTATGATCAGTTAAGTGATGCCAATGAAAATTATACCACAAATTTTGCACCAACATCGCCGAATAAGAATTCAATTGGTGTTGGAACCTCCAAACCAATGGGTGGTAATAAAAGTATTTTACAACGTTCCAAATCGGATTCGCTGAAGAATGCTCTATTTGCCAGTACTCCGGCATTGGATAGTAGCAGCAACAACAACAAGAACAACAGCAACAAACAATGGCAAGCGGTGCAGCCGTTGCAGCCCCAAAATAATATCAACAACAAATCGGTAACATTTTCCGGTTTGGCCAATTCATTGCAGACCATGGCTCCGCTACTTATGCCCGGTATGGGAGGCGGCAACAATAATGCCAAACAACAACAGCAGCAGCAACAGAACTCAAATCCATTACAACAAAAATCCGAACAAAACCAAAATATATTCTATGACTCTCACGTCAAAGATAGTGCCTATGGGTCAACAGAAATCCATGAATCCCAATGGAATAACTCCACCACCACCAATGGTAAAATTCAACCTTCAATGAATGGCAACAAGTTGCAAAATGGCACCACATATTCCCCACAAATCATCAACAATCCCATATCGACGGTACGCACACAAAATTCCCAAGGTCAAAGGACCTATACCGGAGCCATGACAACAACGGCATTGAACAGCATGAAAGACACCGCATACGATCGCATCAATCCGAATAATTTCAAGAAGAGAAGATGAGAAGTTGCAGTGAAATTTGCAAAATTCTATTTTTTAATTTTTAATTCATCAATTTATTTTTGTATTTTTTACTGCAAAACTTATCTGTCTGATAATTATAATGAAAAACATTTTAATAATTTATTTTTAAATTAAATTACTTTTATTGTTAGTTATATAAATAAATAAAATATTATAAAATATACCAAAAAATTATAGAGATATTTATTTAAAGAAATACTTTATGGCTGCAACCGGTTCTTAATACTCAAGGACCCCGCGAAGCACCTGATTGATAAGAATTCCCTGACATCATCCCAGTTTTCCCCTCCATTGGAGGCGTAACTAAAGCCACATTCAGACGCTACATATGAATTCTTTCTATCAGGAAATCCCACGCAATGTCATCCGTGAGAACTTTAAAAAGAATTTGAGGTTACACTTGATCTAAAGGAATTTCTTTGTCAGTATTCGAGTTCCTATCCCGTTCAATTAACCGGGTTCAGAAGTTAATAGCTCTCCGGTAGATCTTTCTGCCGGAGACTTCGTTGGTCATTTGTCTCGAAAGCTACAAATTTCCACTGCCCGCAATGGAGTTTGGACTTCCATACTCACCAAGGTTTGCGTTCCCTCTCATCGTCTTTGATACCTTACCTTGATTTAGATTAGTCACTTGAATAGCCGTTGTGTTAATCACGGTGTTATCCATAGCGTTTTTCTCGTCCGTCAAGGGTGAGTCATCCCAGAGATGGACCTGGGAACTTTATTGACTGTGCCGAATTCTCAATAATATCGAGATGAAGTTCCGCCTGTCTCTCCAGGCTCGAGCTTATGTCATCGAGGGTAATGGGCTGGGAATAGTCGCAGAAAAGTCCGGGGTACATAACCAGTGGTCGATGTCGTTGGGGCATTTTATTTGCAACGCCAAAATCAGTCGAAAAATCACATTCGTTTTACTGAGTACTTCATATACATTTTTGAGTGAGGTTTTGATGTGAACCATGACATAGCCACGTACCATGTTAAGGACTTGGAAACTAAGCCTGAATAACTGTGTGAGGCGCCAAGGAATTAACAAGTCTCCCTTCGAATACATTCGGTACCCTGTTAAACGTGAAACGCTAATGAGCTCGAGGAAGGAAATGACGGAATTATAACCCAGGCTTTGCGGAAGACTTTGAACATACGCTCGTCTTTTTGATACTAGAGCTAGAATCAAGGCTCACTTCGGTACCCTGACTGCAGACCCTGAAACGCTGATGGGCTCGAGCAGTAAGGCGACCTAATATCTTGGAAGTGATTATTTAGGTACATGATTCCCGTCTCGTCTGACTTGGGATCGTAGACATTTCCTCCGATACTGTTCTTCACAATCTTGATACTAGAGTATTTTTTTTTTAATTTGTTCCTCGTTGTAGACTCCTTTGACTTTCGGTTAGCTCAGCTCTCTTCAGATCAGAAGCTTTTTTCCTTCTTTGGAACCAACGCTTTTTAAGAAATTGAGGGAATGTCAGTCTTATCTTTATCTTGTTGCTGTTCTTTGTTCTTATTTTTCGACTTCGGCGCTTCAGGTCATTTTTCTTACACATCTTTCCTACTCGCTCCTTCTACCTACTTGGTTTCCAATTCGGAATTTGAGTTAGAATGTCTCGGAAGGCTGAGTCGATATTGCTCTTATTTCACGAGACCTCCGCTTTAGAAGAAATGTAGGGAAAGTCTCCCTTCTCTTTGATTTTTTATCTCACCGATTCGTCCTGGCCACTTTCCGCCTTTGCGACCCAAATAATTTTCTTTTTTTGTCGTACTCCTTACTCGCGTATTCCACCAATTTTGTCTGACCATCACTCTCCCGACTTTCTAAGTGGCTCGTTTTCCGACACGGTATTTGAGTTTGAGTCCATTCGGTAAGCCGCGATTGCACTTCCTCAGTGGTTCTTGTTGGCTACAAGCTTGTAACGGTACCGTCGACCATCGGTCGTTCCATCCTTAAGGGCTAAGCAGAATGTTCGCGTTGAGCCATCCGTCGCGTTATATGTTATCGAAAATACAACAACCACAAGGAAACGATAACATAAAGGCATATCGTTTCCTTGTGGTTGTTGTATTTTCGATAACATATAAAGCGACGGATGGCTCAACGCGAGCATTCTGCTTAGCCCTTTAATTATGCTGCCCCGGTCTGTACTTCTTTCCTTAGTGACACACAGTGGAGATCCTTGCAAAACACAAAATAATGCATCTCAAATTGCACCTGCTGTGTTCAGATGGGGAACATCGATCTCCATGAGGAGACCAGAATGCTGTCAATCAAGCAACATAAATTGTTGGTGACTAGACAGTTCCTGCTGGCATGCTAACTGCCGAGTCATCCCAATCATCGCACTGTGATGGCAGAACCGTCTCCGCGACACATACGTCAGAACTTCGGGAATTATACTGAAGACATTCAAAACGTTATTCCATCAGTCGTCAACAGATCGTCGATAACATAAATGGACATACAACAAAGGCCAGATTATCTCTATATCAAGAGCGCACTGTCCTCGGAATCTAAAAGCCCAAATCTATTTCCCATATATTTATGGCTAAAGTCAATAGATGTGGAACAATTTACCGGCTACCCTCTTCTAATCCAAATGTTCCTATCAATTGGTCTGTTCCCGTACTGCAAGAATCTACTTGATTTTACTAGTAGATTCGTGCACTACGGCAAAGAATTTTAGTCAACAGACAACCTGTAGGAAATGTTTTCAGGATCGCAGTATGTCGACGCAAATGATCTGTTCAAGAACCTGCAAGAATCTTCTATTAATCGAGAAATGTTCTATTTTTGCTTTAAAAAGTTTTACCAATGTTTTCAGTACGGGAGCATAACAAATGGAAATAGAATAGTTTATTTTTTTCTTTTCAAATGCATTTCCCTCCAACCTCAAAGAATTCAAACGCTGATGTTATCGAAAATTGTTAAGGGTCCCATACACTATACATCATGCCGTACAGCATTTATAATAGTATGTGTTATTTTTTGAAAGTTTATTTATGTATGTGTGACACACACAACCCAGTTGTACAAAAAATATCAATTGTCTGCTATTATATAGTTATATAGCTAGTTACTTGGTGATCTAGTTACTTCATACCCCAAAAAGGAACAGAAAATAGACTGTTGGATTTTTTTGTCAGTTGAAAAAGCTGTTTACACACATCATACCAATTCAGTAGTTACTGGTAATGCAATGGGTAATGAATCGACTATCGAAATGACCGTATACTGGTAAAGCAGGCAGGGGACAATTGACTTCCCCAATGACATACACATGTTAAATTCACCAGTCTAGGGCATGAAGTGGTAACTAGTGGTACTTACAGGTAATAAGTAAAATATATAGTTCATCACCAGTTACTCGAACTACTGGGAATGCATGAAGAAAATCAAAATAGTTTTGATTTTGAAAATGAACCCCTATCAATCTGGTGAATAATATTCATTTTGAAAGTTGTCAGTAAATAATTTTGTATACAAAAATAATAGAATTGTGGCGAAATAAAAAAACAACTGAATTTACGACTCAGAATGCAATTTTTGGGACAAAAATCGATTTTTTGGTATAGTGATTGAAGAGTGTGCCATACACTAGTCAATCTCACATATACACAATGGGGTTCATCGGCATGACGGCATGATTTATAGTGTATGGGGCCCTTTAAAGGCCCAATACACTATACATCACGCCGTCATGCCGATGAATCCCTTTTTGTATATGTGAGATTGACTAGTGTATGGCAAACTCTTCAATCACTATTCCAAAAAATCGATTTTTGTCCAATAAAATCACACTTTGAATTCAAATTCAGTTCTTTTTTATTTCGTCACAATTTTATCATTTGTATACTCAAAATTATTTACTGTCAACTTTTAAAATGAATAAAATTCATCAGATTGAAAGGGTTTCATTTTCAAAATCAAAACTATTTTGATTTTCTTCATGTGTGTGTCACACATTCATAAATAAAATTTCAAAAAATAACACATACTATGATAAATGCTGTACGGCATGATGTATAGTGTATGGGGCCCCATACACTATTAATCATGCCGTCATGCCGATGAACCCCTTTTTGTATATGTGAGACTGACTAGTGTATGGCAACCTCTTCAATCACTATTCCAAAAAATCGATTTTTGTCCCAAAAATTGCATTTTGAGTCGTAAATTCAGTTGTTTTTTATTCCGTCACAATTTTATTATTTTTGTAGACAAAATTATTTACTGACAACTTTCAAAATGAATATTATTCACCAGATTGATGGGGGTTCATTTTCAAAATCAAAACTAGTTTGATTTTCTTCATGCATTGTGTGTGTCACACATACATAAATAAACTTTCAAAAAATAACACATACTATGATATATGCTGTACGGCATGATGTATAGTGTATGGGACCCTTAACATCTATAATAAGTGGTGCCAATAAGAAAAATATTCCAAGCTGCCAATTAGATTCCTATTTGTTATCGACAACGTTTAATCGATAGAACAAAAAACGATCTAGCTATCCCTATCTTATAATGTTTTGTTTTCAAATGTATTTTTTTGAAGCGAATAAATATTAAATGGTAGGATAAGAATGAAAAAATCAAATCTCTGTCATTCTGTTACACAAAAGTCAACCCACACACACCTACATACATTTACAACAAAACAAATTGAGGAAATGAATTCAACTAAGCTATGTGAACCAAAGCAAATCGATAACTGAATTAGTTGCAACTAGTTCCGACCAGTTCATTTCACTGAGTGAGTGACTGAGATTTTGAACCGGCTCGTTGCCGAACGAACTCGCCGCAGTAATACAAGACGACTGACACAGAACACAACACATACAGTCCGATACGAATAAGAGCAAGAACAAGCAAAAAAAGAAATATAAACAACAATATAAAACGCATATAATTAATAATAAATTAAGTAATATAAACAAAATAATAACAAGAAGAAGCACAAATACACAGATTGATT